GTCACGATTTGGTTTATGCCTGAGTAATACGTCTTATGGAGTAATATATCTTATGGTTTAGTCGCTTTCTTTGGAGATGAAATCCTCGAGAGTTTTTCCCAGCGGGAGCATGATGAAGAGCACCATGTCGCACTGCCTTCTGAAGCCGAGGTTTTCGTGGTAACGGATCGAGGCGGCGTTGGAGCGCTCGACCACCGATCGCACAGGGATGTCCTTCTGACGGAGCTTCTGAGCCATGGCGAGCGCCACCGCCGTGCCGAAGCCCTGACGACGGTGCTCAGGGATGGTGAAGGTGTTGGCCAAGAAGCAAAGGTTGTGCAAGAAGCACCACGACACGAGATGGCCTAAAGTTGGAGCTTCAGCCTCAGCCTCCTGTGCCTGTCGACGGCGGATAGCGACGGACGGCAGCTTGGCCAACAGGTACTCGAGGCCGCCTTGGGATTCGGTCCATCTGTAGTGCCACGGGGAGAGCACCGCGGAGACATCGTCGGCCCGGAGGCTGTCCAGGACAAATCCTTCTGGAATTCTGCTCGGAGGTTTGGATCCAAAGGCACATTAATCAGGCGTTGTATCTCAGCAGTGTATTATCTGTTCTTTGATTCTGATTGATATACTTTTGCAGTGTCAATCAGCGAACAGATGAGATACTTACGTAGGCTGTCGAATATCCGAATCTTCGATGGTGAAAAGAGGTCCTTCAAGCATCACATGGCACCACATCTCACCATTGCCAAGCCTCCCGTTTTTAAAGAATGCTTGTAACTGTCGAAGCAAGATGCATTACTTTCACACCCGTATTATCCCAAAGACATATTGCACAAACGTTCTAATTTGAAGACGACAAAGACAAGGAGTGACTCGAGCGATTTATTAAAGAAAAGGACCAACCTTCGTGAACACGGGAAGGGGAGTCACTCTGTAATAAGCGGGAGCCGACCAGTCCCAGCCAGGCAGCGTCTTCAGCAGTCGGACCACTTCTCCGTCGTCCTCTTCGTCCGCGTCCCAGAATATCGTCATGCTCTGGATGTGCCTCTGCCGAAGGAGAGACTGTTCAAGATGCTTCCAGTGCTGTCTTGCGCCGTTAATCATGCTTTGCTCGAGGAAATTGAACATTTATTAAAGGTAAACACACACACACACATCCAGTATATATACATACATATATATATATATATATATATATATATATATATATATATATATATATATACATATATATATATAAAGAGAGAGAGAGAGAGAGAGATGTGTGTGCATGTGTATGTGTATGTATGTGTGTGTGTGTGTTTGTGTATATATGTATATACATGTATACATCTACACACACACACATATATATATATATATATATATATATATATATATATATATATATATATATATATATATATATATATATATTGTAGCTGTTATATCACATACTTCATATTAGTAGCTGGGATATCATATATTTCGTATATCACGTATTCTGTAACAACCGCTTTCGTGTCACAACCGCTGGCAAGGCCTCGGCGAGTACCACAGGGTCAACACATGGTCTGTATCGGCCATAAGAGCTGACCTGTCAAGAAACGTGTTTGTGTGAGGGGTCGTGCCATAGGAAGTGGTGACGGTTCTTCATATGATCGATGCTGTGAAATAACGAGATCGCGACCTAACTAATGTATAGCATTTGAAGTAGAATGTTACTTGGCGTAGTAGCCTGTGTATGTTTATAGTGTGAGGGCAGTTCGAGGGGAACCTCCGTGCCGTCGAGACGCCCATAGCATTCTAGAATTAGACCGTTAATGATATTCTGACTGTTCCCGCAATGCGTTTGACCGCTACCCAATAAACCTTAAGCGAGTGCTACGCAGTGGTATCAGTCACCCCAGACCCATTGGCAATCATTTTCGTTTACCAAGACGACGTAACACGGAGCCGAGTGGTGGGGTACATCCCTGTCGGCAACAGACAGCGGAAAGGTCAGCGCGCGATGACTGCAAGCACGGACGAGGAGATCCTGCAAATCCTCGGACAACAAAACCCACGGTGCTGCATTCTTGCAGAATAAAAAACCCACGGTGCAGCATTCTTGCAGAGTCAAAAACCCACGGTGCTGCATTCTTGCAGAGTCAAAAACCCACGGTGCTGCATTCTTATAGAGTCAAAAACCCACGGTGCAGCATTCTTGTAGAGTCAAAAAACCAGGACCTTGCGATTGCAAAGCCAGCAGCAGATATATTATACCGGATCTTATTTTGCTGAGTACTGGAGAGGCTTTTCATCTCGGCGGCCGAGTGTCCTGGGAAGAATCCAAGTTCTATGGATACACTCTCTGAGATTGGGGACGTGGAGTTTTTTCCCTTGTCCGGCAGCAACATAGTTAAGGATTACAGTATCCCTTATCATTGCCGTTTTGGGGATCTGTTTAGGATTTTACCTTTGTTATTCGTGTAGGACACACGAAGCTGAAGAAAGGGGTCTGTGGTGAAACGTGTGTTATCCTTTAACAAGTGAA